TAACAAGGTCCACCTTAGCAGAGAATGACCATCTTGATTATAATTTAAAGACAACCAAGAAATGGAGGCACATCGGTTATACCTATGATAACAACACTGGAAATCAACGACTGTATGTTGATGGGACTAAAGTTCGTGAAAGCTTCATAGCTAAACAGGAGATTGCCACAGATTACAAGGTATCTCGAGTGAAATTTTCTACGTTCGATTTTGTTAATAACACAGTACAGGAGTATAAAATCGTCAAAGAAAATTGTGTTTTTTAACTCCTCACATTTTCGAGGATTTAAATATAGAAGTATACCTTTAGTTAGCTCGAAAGCTATATTAATTTACTATCTTATTTCACCCTTATTTTATAAGACCCAATTTTGTTYTGATTGAACAAACTACAGTGCACAACAGCTACACAATAAAACTTTTGCATATACCATACAAAATCAAAATAAGTTTTCGATAGAGTGAAYTTATTTTCTACAAGTTAATCAATAATGTCTTCTTTTTTTTTCTTCTACAAAATCTTCCGAGATATCTTTTTAGCTCTCTTAGACGTTGAATAAAGTAATTGACTTTCATTTCTGCTATTCTTAGGTTAGGATCGGAGGAGCAAAAGTGGGTGATTCTAGGWWMTTCAAAGGACGTATTTCATGTGTTCAATTCTACGATAAAGCATTGACAGCAAAGCAAGTGTTGGCCATCATGAGTAGATGTCAGGAAAGAAATGGTAGGTCTAAGTGATGTCTATTTTTGAAAACTAAGCCTATAAAAATAGAAAAATCATAGTTTTTAACTTKGAGATTGCGTAAGCAATCGAAGAGTTATTGGAGGGAGACGATGTGTCACTCACTCACTTTCCTGTGAACTTTTAAAGATAGCCGCTGAAAAAAATAGCAGGCTCTCAAAATAGCGGACCAAGAAATAACCGGGGAAATATAACCCTACAATCTCCGAGTTGTGTTGCCATTGGCAGCTTGATTTATGATGTGTTAAACTCGTTCGTATTAAAACAAGTACATAATTATTATACCGACTATCTTAAATTGTTAATATATTTTTCGCTTTTAGAGGTTTATTCTGCATGTTTGCAAAACACACTACTTGAAGACCACACAAGGGCCGTGGAATACGATGTAGTGAGCGGTCATCCTTCTGATAGAGAAAC